TTTTTTTTTTTTTTTTTTTTTTATTAACTTGAATTTATTAAACATTAAATTAAAATTCAATAATTTACTATGTTAACTCCGAGCCTAGGTTGACGTTTTAGGCATCAGCATTGGTGGCTAAGATTATTCGTTCTCGCTCGAGTTGGAATCATATAGGGTTCTACCATAAACCCGTAGATTTTTTAGTTTTCACCATGGGTTACTATTCTTCCAAGTCATACAAAATTGGTCGATGGCTAGAAGGTAAGTTTGATGGCAAGGGCGAAGATCGTTATTTTTCGATAGAATGAACTTCCTTTTCTAGTTGATTGGTCTATAAACTCGAGCAACAATCATTCAACTTTGGTTCTATAATGCGGAGAGCATCGCTTAGTGGAAATTACATTACAAGGCGGCCCTTGAAACTCGTCCGTCACAAGAGCTTAGTCAACGACACGTGACTTTAGAGGTCAAAAGACCCCTACTAATAGTCGGCAATCAAGCAATGGGCACTAGAGAAGTTTAATGGATCTATTAAATATAACACCAAATTTTATGAAATTAAAAAAAAATGTATTAAAAATTGAGATATTTTAGAAAAGATCATGAAAGTCTCCGTTTTCTCCAATGAGGGCACAGACAGTTCTTGTTCTTTTCTGTGTGGAATGATAATCGACAACAAATCCATAGACTGAAGCTGTAAATTCTCGATTTCAATTCAATTGATTCTCTTCCTTCTTCTAAATCTCAAAGCAAAATTTGCAGACATGGAAGAGAATTAGAACGGTACTTTGTTTTATTACTTCTTCCTTTTTCCCCTTGAGCGCATCAGTGTCTCTGTTGTTGATTTACTGTGATTTTGTTCTACTGTTTCTGCTTTTTATTTGGATGTTTTTTTTCGATTTCGTTTTATCCGTTCTCAAGATTTTCCATTAGCATTTGCATACTGATTTTCGAATCTCTCTTGCGGATAGCAGTTAGCCTCTTCCAAGGCGCGAGGTTCAGTTGCTGTTTTCAAGTAAAAAATTATATTGGTTTAAATCAGGATCTTTGCACTTCCGTTGATTTGAACGTTTTTGTAATTATTCTACCATAATTATTCAATTTGTCTGTGGAATTGGTGGTTTTAAGTTGTTAATTTTTGTTGTTCTGATAATATAGCAGTGGTTCGCATGTATGTACTCCATTTAATTATTTCAGCAGCTGTGTGTGTTTACTTTATGTTGGTTTATGCATGTAATTTCTATTGCTTTATGGGTAAATCTCGCGGGTTTGTCTGTGTTATTGTTGCTGCTTCATGACGACCATTGAAGTTCTAGACTAATTCAACATAGCTTTTGGTTGGAAATTGTTGCAATTATACTGTTTCCATAGCTTAAATGAAGTGAATTTCATTGTTTTGAGTTAGTCCCTTCTGTTACTGCAATTATCATTAAAATGCTGTACATATTCATGCCTTCGATTTTTCTCGGAAATTGCTGCCATGTACACTGTTTGGATACATTGCTTGAAGGAAGTGAAATTCATAGTATGAAATTAGTACTTTATGATACCGGGGTAGGTTTTGTTGAGGATTGTCCCACATTGGCTAATTTAAGAAATGATCGTGGGTTTATAAACAAGGAATAGTATCTCCATTGGTATGGGAGCTTATATACTCAAAGTGGACAATATCATACCATTGTAGAGATCCGTGATTCCTAACCGGTTTCTATTGTCAAATGGCTGTAAACTACTCTCAATAGAGGTATACACTTGCTTTTATAATTTCTTACATTCATCAAAAGGGGAGACTCATCCCAGTCGGATGCGATTTTATAAGGTTGGGTTTGTTGGATTTATAAACAGCCAAAATCAATTTCGGTTTATCCTTACCTCTAATTGGACTATGCAATCTGTGGATAGCCACTTACACATGCACACTCACACATGTATATAACAATTTGCTCAAGTTTATTTGGCATAGAATTTTTCTTCAATCTAGTTAAATCTTAATATTAGTTTTCTTTTTTTGTTCAAACCAGATGGTGAAAGTTTAAACTTTTGACCTTTAAGAGAGGTTTATGTTAGGAATCACGACTCTCCACAATGGTATGAAATTGTCTACTTTGAGCACAAGTTTTCATGGTTTTACTTTTGGTTTCCTTGAAAGGCCTCATACCAATGGAGATGTATTTTTTACTTATAAACTCATGATCAACCCCTTAACTAGTTGATGTGGGACTCCCTCCTAACAATCCTCAACAATCCTCCCTTTGAACAATATACACCATAGAGCCTCCCTTGAGGCCTATAGAGCCCTTGAACAGCCTCCTCTTAATTGAGGCTCGACTCCTTTCTCTGGAGCCCTCAAACAAAATACACCATTTGTTCGACACTCGAGTTACTTTTAATGGCATGGCTAAGTTATGCATACATATGTGCCCATGTGAGTTAATCGTGTGTGTACACATGAAAAATCTTAAGATTTGACGCAAAGAAGTTTTCTTCTGTGTAATCTTTATATTACCATTCTTAATTTATTGGTGAGGCTTAAAGTGAATGCAAAAGGAATGTATTTCTCAAAAAAGATTATATACTATTGATATTTTTGTATTATCAGAATTCACTTCTATTGTTTACGAGATGAATGTCTGTATTGAAAATGACTTGATAAAGTTCCATGAACACTTGACAAGATTTAAAAGGGTAGTGTGAATTGCTAATACATTCTCTGTATGCAATAAGTTCCCCAAGATTTAAAAGTAAGTTCTTGCAGACCGTTTCTTCTTTGAAATGAATGACTAATTACTTTATGTACTGATAACAACTCTGAACTTAATTCTTCTAGATCCTGCTTTATTTTATTTTATTATAAATGAAGGCTGTTAGTCTTTGTATGCGATCATGGTGCCATTGGTCAAATTGAGCTGCTGATTTATTAAGTATCCTGTACCAAATGTATTATGGAATTGGTCAACTTGAATCTTGATGATTATGCTCAATTGTTTGTAACTCAAAAGAGATTCTATTGTTGGCTTGTACAGACAAGGAAACTGACGTATAAAATCCTATTTTCTGCACTTTTTCAGTTTTTCTGGTTGATATTAGCCACTTGATTGTAGCTGAAAGGTTTTATAAGTTTTATAAACTGCGCATAACATGGATATTGCCCTGCTCCTTGAAGAGGGCAGAGCTGAAGCATCCAGCTACTGTGAACTTTACTGCTATAGTTGTTGCAACAAAAGAGTGGAGAGGAAATAGCAATCAATGTTCTTTAACCTATGAGACGGAAGTAAATTGCTGTTTGGATTTCTGTTCTGATAATGTTCAACTGAGATTTCATCTCTCTGCAAAATGAGTTTTAGACACGTTGGGCTCTGCTTGATTCTCTATACATGTACTTGAGCATCATCCGGATCAGATACTATCTCTGAAGCGTATATCTGAAGCGATGTCTGAAGCAATGTCTGAAGCGATGTCGACACTGCCCAGTGTCGAATTTGCAGATTTGAGTCCCACAAAAGATGTTTTTGTTTCAGCTCTCCGCTTTGCTCTGTCAATTAACAGCCCATGTGTGCCATTTGGAGATGAGCTTCAAAGATCTGCTCAGGAACAAGTTGACTACATGATAAGAGCAGACGCCGATACGTCGTTGGTAATAACTGACGACGAAGTAAAATCCGTGTTGAGAATGGGTCTTTCTAGAACTTGTGCATCGTTTCAGACAGATCTATCTTCACTACTTTTGGAGTCTGACCTTACATCTCAAGTCAACGAAGACAAGCTATTGAGAACACTATCTGATCTTGAATGGATATGTTCTTTACTTCCAAAGATGAATTTAATGAAAGACTTCGTTTCCAACTGGATCGAGATATCTGGGAACGTACTGAAGGTCATCGAGGACGAAAAGTTAAATTCCTTAATGTGGGGTTTGAAGGTTAAGCTGATTGAGATGACCAACAAAGCCTTGGAAGCTGTTGGCTATGGGACTGTGATTCTTCCTGCACCGTACCGGTTGTCACTGCTTCAATTCTGGCTTCCATATATCAGGAAGATGAAGCCTCTGCTCGATTCAAAGTGCGTCGCAGAGACAGATTTTAGTTACAAGATGGACGACGAGCTGTGCTTGAATATCGAGGGGGCAATTGTGTCCATGGTATTGACATTGCCTTCAAATGATCAAGCAGGTATCTTGGTAGACTGGATGAAAGCAGAGGAAATGCAGTATCCTGATTTAACTGATGCTTTTGAATTATGGTGTTATAGGACCAAATCTGCAAAGCGGAGATTGGTTGAAGGTATTGATGGAGCCTGCTCTGACAATGATGATGCTGCAATCAGCTTTTGAATTGATCGCTACGACTCTGCTAGGTGGATTCAAATGTTTGTTATTCATGTAGGACATAGCAAGTTTATCAATCTTCATATGTTCCATTAATAAAACTCCCTCTCTACAGAGAAAAAAAAATGAAAACTATAAACTTTTTGTTCTTGTTAACTTTACTATTGAGGCGACTTTATGAGTAACGTTTTGCCTCTTGTTCACATATATCTTAACGAGTTAAGTTATGTTCAAGTTGATAATTTTAGCATATAGTTTAATAGATTGATGTGTGTTTCACTAGTATTTTGGGATTGGGATCGGTGTTAGTGATTAAATAGAAGCATACTTCAAGATATGAGACCATTTATGATGTCTTTTAAAAAATTAAGGCAAATATTAATTTGTATCTTGAACTTTGTCATAATCGCACTTTCATGATAGCGGACTTGCGATTGTGTGGCACTCACTTCTCACAATAAGTGAGTTAAGCCTATTCGTTCTTGCATCGCCTACAGTAAGCGACGTATGCTCGAGCCTCTGGCCCTGGTCCAAGAATAAAGTTTTAGAAAATAGGGACAGAGAGATTTCGAAAGAGAGTTTTGGAAGCAAGAGTTGAGACGTTCTTGCGTCGCCTACGGCCAAGCGACGTATGCTCGAGCCTCTAGCCCCGGTTCAAAAAGAAAGTTTTAGAATGCGGGGCAGAGAAATTTCGAAAGAGAGATTTCCAAAGAGTTTTTTCGAAGCAAGAGTTAAGAAATTGAAATTGGTGTTATATGGGAATGTAACAAAAGGTAACAACAACTACCTACTATAGTTGAGAACTAGTCATATCCCCTGTATACATTTTGTCTTTGTCCAAGCGGGTGTAGACGTGATTCTGGTGAACGGTCATACACTCCGGTATTGACCTGATATAATAAAATAGTAAAGGTCTATCTAAATAGCGACAAAAGATTATTTTTGTCATTTATTTTTAAATAAATGTTAACTAATTTAATATTACACGACAGATAAATTAATAAAATGGGAAGAAGACATGTGAGGACCAATGAGCTGTTTACACATAAGCATATTAAATGAAATTGAAACCTAAAATTAAATTTAGGGTTTCAAAAACTCTAAAGTCTAAAAGAAGTGAAACTTTAATATATATATATATTAGCATATGATAACAAAAGCAAACATTATTTTTGTAGCTTTCAATCAAATATTCACCAACTTTTTTTTAATTCATATCAATATCCTAAAATAATTTTATCCGTCGAGCGGCCGTCCTTTTACTTGGTACGGTCTAATTATTATTAGCTCTCGTATGTATTACGAGTATCTGTTGTCTTTATGTAGATATAATACCATAAAATCTCATCTGAAATCTACTCTACCTTTCGGACTTCCCCTTTGAGGTTTTAAAACATGTCTGCTAAGGAGAGATTTCGTCACCCTTATAAGAAATGTTTGTTTCGTTCCCCTCTCCGATCGATGTACTTCTTAGTATTTGTATGCACGACCCTTCGAATTTTCTTTATTTATGTTTTAGAATGTCATGTCTTTTTTTTATGTCCCTTTGAGAGAACAAAAATAAAAGTTAGGTCTTGTTTGTCAGAATGCATATCTATAAACAATTCTCTTACACAAAAAGAAAGAAAATAAAGGGTTTGTGAAAGTGCTCAAAAGTGAAGAGGGTTTCTAAATTGTTTTTATACGTCAATTCTAGAGTTTTCGAGTTCATCGTTTTGTCGATGATTCTTAACAAGAACACGAACACGAACACGAACACGAACACGAACAAGAACAAAGATTGGTTAATTACGCGATCGACGAAAAAACGACAAGAATATGAAAATGAAGATATGATTTGGACTTGGAATTGGAATTTACCATGATGCTCCACTCAACATCCCACTCCAATACCCATTTGAATCTCCTTGTTCTTTGCCTTGCTCAACTCCATTAGACTCTCCTTGCTTCAAATCTTCAAACAATGGCAGCTGCATCGCCCTCCCTTCCCCATTGCCGACCTCGGTCGGGATGACTCCATACCCATCAAGAGAGAATCCAAGGCTTGGTTTAAATGGCTCGTGGAGATCGGGAAACCCGGTCGTGTAAACGGAGCGAGGATCAGGGACGATGGAAGGCATTGGAAGAAAACAATTAAAGTCTCTAGAGTTCTTGCTCGTCATCCCGGTGAGAAGCTCCATCGCCGAGAGGTGATTCGTCGTGACATCAATCGTCGAAGGGTTACGACCGACGACAACGGTCTCGGAAGAGGCGGAATTAGGGTTTTGTGGGAGATCAAGAACTTTCTTTTGTGAAGAAGGTCTCTTGTTCTTCCTTGAGCCACCTCCAACAGGAATGTTTCTTAAGGAACCACCTTCAGTCCAATACCTTCTACATGTCTTGCAAAAGTATCTTGGTTGTGTGAGGCTATAATTATTGTAATAACAAAACTTTGTATTGCTCGAATTACACCTTGGACAATTCAAAGCTTGTTCCTTTTGGGGTCTAATTTTTCTCTCTAAACTTGAAACTCCTTGTTTTGGGTAAGTGTTTGCCACAATTTCTTGAATGGGTTTCATCAAAATCTCCTAAAAAGTTCAAATTTTGCACACATAAACAACAAGAACATCAAAAGATACACAAAAAAAGGCCAAATTTGATGAAGAAAGTATCAATTTTGCACACATAAACAAGAAGAACATCAAAAGATACACAAAAAAGGGCCAATTTTGTTGAAGAAAGTATCAATTTTGCACACATAAACAAGAAGAACATCAAAAGATACACAAAAAAGGGCCAATTTTGTTGAAGAAAGTATCAATTTTGAGATGAAACCAAAACCCCATGAAGAAAAATTAGAACTTTAAGAAGAAGAAGAAGAAGAAATACCTGTGGCCATTGAGAAGTATCCATGGAAATGAAGAAATTTGAAGAAAAGCTTGAAAAAAGAAGGTTTCCAGATGGTTCATGTGGAACTTCTGGCCTATCAATCGCTCAAACCTCTTCTTTTCATCAGCTCACACTCAAACAGAAGAGAGAGAAAGAGGAGAGAGAAAGAAGAGAGAGAGAGAGAGATAGAGTTTTATTCTTTATTATATGTTAAATTATATTCTATATTTCCCAAGAGTTTACAATAATTGTATACTTAGACTTAGTGGGAATGTTTGTCTACATGTAAAAAAATATGAAACTTAGTGTGGGTGGGTTGGTGGGTGGATGGTTGGGTTAGTGGCCATAACCATGGCTAGTCCGTTTCGAGAAATAAACTGCAACCGCTCAAGCTCACTATTATGTTATTAGATATTGTTCTCTTTAAAAGACTTTCTCTTTTGTTCTCCTCAATGTTTTTAAAACAGGTCTGTTTTTAAAACAGGTCTATTATAAGGAATGTTTTGTTTCCCTCCCCCACTAATATGATTGAGAGCCCACTGTTCTCGCTGGCACACTATCCGGTGTCTGTCTTTGATACCATTTGTAACAATTCAAGCTAACCGCTAGCAGATATTGTCATTTTTAGATTTTGCTAAACATGTCTGTTAGAAAAAGGTTTCCACACTCTTGTAAGAAATGTTTTATTCCCCTCTCCTACTAATGTGATTGAGGGCCCAACGTCCTTGCTGGCACACTGCCCGTGTCTGTCTTTGATACCATTTGTAGCGGTTCAAGCTCACCACTAGCCGATATTGTCATTTTTTTATTTTGTTAAACATGTCTGTCAGGAAAAGATTTCCGCACCCTTATAAAAAATGTTTTGACAGATGTGTATTATCCTTTTTGGGTTTTTCCTTTTAGGGTTCTATTCAAGGTTTTTAAAATGGGTATATTAGAAAGAGGTTTCTATACCCATATAAGATTTGAAATTCAGATTCGACACTAGATGACATCGATATTCCCCGACTTTTCTTGCAAGAAGACTCATTACCTACTTGACTTACTTTCTAAAACTAAATACTATCTCGACAAACCAACATAGTTTCGTTCATCTAAGAAGTCATATTGTGACAGTCTCGTCTAATAATTTTCTCTACATTTCCATGAACCGATCATCTCTCTCCAACACTCTCTCATGAACACTTTAGAGAGTGCTTCTCTCACTTCACTTTTGTTTTGCTGTGTATTAAGAAATTTATATATATCACTATCAACTTCTATTTTTATATTTCTCTTCCAAAATGAACTTTAGTTATCTCACTATCAGTCTTGTAGTCGTCATCAGTGATTCATTTAATTTTCAATTCAAAGCAGATAATCGTTATCGTAACGAGTAAATATATCGAACATACGAGCATCCTATTATGTTTTTTTTCCCTATTTTTTTTTGAATTAACGATAGTCGAACGGGGAATTTAAATTATAATAATTTAAAAACTAAAATAAAAGAAGATAAAAAAAAATAATATATATATATATATTAAGAAATTCCTAAATGTTGTGGTGTCCGTACCAAAAAAGCTGTACCAGTTGGCCAATACTTTCCCATTCAATACCATTTTTTAGATTGGATTCTTATTTGATGTGATTGATTGCTTAAATGATTCCATTTTATCTTTATTTCTTTTCAGCTAATTTATTTATTTATAATTAGGGAATTATTCTCATTTTAAAAAGTATTATATTCATAATTATTATTTTTTGTTTAAAAAAAATAATTATCCATATTACATGTTATTTTAACAAAATATTAAATACTTTACTGATATTGTCCATTTGACCCTAAGCTCTTATGACTTTACTTTGGGTTTCCCAAAAAGCCTCACACGAATGGAGAGTATTATTTGATTATAAACTCATGATCATTCCTTAAATTAGCAGATGTGGGACTTTCATCATCCAACAATGAATACATTTAATTAATACATTAATTGTTCGATAATTGGAAACAAAGATATTAAGTATAATTATAATTTCAATAATATGGACTTAAATAATTATATTAAAAAATAAAGAAAACAAATGATAATCGAGATAAGTAAATAATTAGATTAAATAATAATATTGAACTTATTTTTATTTTTATTTTTTTCGCTGTTTGGCATTGGCTTCACCTCCACTCAACCGCAGAAATGCAATCATATTTTTAACGGTGTATGATTGCGATCCCCCTAATTCCATGGCGTAATCATAGCCATTCATTTTTATTTACATGGGCCCCTCCAAGCACGCTTGCCCACGTGCCACT